CCCCCCCCCCCGCAGACACACCCGTGAGCCGCGCAGCCCAGGCCCCGCCCCGCTGCCCACACGGGACTTTATTGCTTTTATTTTTTAATGCTTGTAAAAGAAACCAAGGCCCACCCCTGTAATCCCACCCAGTTAGGAGGCTGAGACCTGAGGATCCAGGGTCGAAACCAGATGAAGGCAAGAAGGTCTGGGAGATTCTTCTTTTCCATTAATTAGCAAAAAAAAAAAAATTGGAAGTGGGGGCCTGGCTTAAATGGTAGAGCGCCAGCCTTGAATGGAAAAGCTAAGGATCAGCACCCAGGCCCTGAGTTCAAGCCCCGGTATGGGTGCACACACACATAAAATGATCTTCATTTGACTGTCCTGGTGTGTGAGTACAAGACCTCGGGGTACAGTTCACCCCTTCTGTTCTCCCTCATCTCCCCTAACCCCACCCACCCCCTTGAGATACCTGGTTCCATACTGAGTAAGATGACTGTATTTTCCCCGTCCTTCTGGTCACAATGGGTTGTGATCAAGGACAAGGCAGTTAACAGAGATCTCAACCACATAAGTGAGGTTTGGAGTACCAGGGGCCAAAAAGCCTTCCTCCAGCTTCAAGTGCCAAGGTTCCATTAACCAAAGTTTTTATTGCATTTTGTAGAGGGAAGTGTGTGCAGAAAGGAACGTATTACACACACACACACACGATGGTGTTTAGTGTGCAAATGGTAGATGACTTTCTCATCTTTACAATTCGCTGAAACCTTAGTCTACCCCCAGGCTCCCCAGTTTAGGATCCAATAGCTCACACCCTGGTCTGAAATCTGAGTTTCTATCAAGCCTGGACTCATTGACCTTTCCAGAAAACGCCTCCTCCTAAAAGTATGTGGAGAGAAGACATTCCAAACTCCCAATCCATGCGGGTCCCCAGCTCAGCTTTTCAGACTCTCATACTCTCTCATTTTTCTGTTCTGAAATGGTGATCTTTGTCTCTAGTGTCAGCAGGGGTTTAGTTAGTGCCCACTAGGAAGAGCAAGCATTCCATGACTGCTTTCTCCATGGTGGTTAGGAAACCGTGAGCTCACTTGCAGAAGAGGAAGCGGAATCAGGAGGTTAATTCAGTTTTCCAAAGCTAGTATAGGGGTGTTAGAATCTGAAGCCAAATCATTCGGGCGCCAGAAGCTATGATACTTTAGTGTAGTTTCCTTCCTTCCTTCTTTCTTCTATGTATAACTTCCTTTCTTTTCCCTTCTCCCCCTTCCTCTCTCCCCTTCCATCTCTTCTTCCTCTCTCCCCCTCCATCTTCTCCTTCCCTCCCTCTGTCTCCTCTTTTATTTATTTTTGGTTGGTCATGGGGCTTGAACTCAGGGCCTTGGCGCTGTCCCTCAGCTCTTTAGCTCAAGACTGGCGCTCCACCACTTGAGTCACGGCACCACTTCTGGCTCGTTGCTGGTGAATTGGACATAAGAGTCCCATGGCCTTTCCTGCTCAGCTGGCCTTGAACTGCAATCCTCAGATCTGAGCCTCCTGAGAACATGACTTCTGCACAAGCTCTGCTCAGGAAGCTGCAACTGTTGGGCTCTCTCCTCTCAAGAGTCAGGGTCTCCATATGTCGCCCCAGCCCCTCAGGGCTGGGATTGCAGGAGTGCAGCACCACTCCTGCTCACCACACACGCTCGGTCCTCCGCTCCTGACATGACTACCTTCTCTTCCATCCCCCAGGAAACTTTGAGAAGCATCCCAAGGAGCTGATCCGCGGCCCCGTGTGGCTGCGGGGCTGGAAGGGGAACGAACTGCAGCGCTGCATCAGGAAGAAGAAAATGGTGGGGAACAGAATGTTCCTGGAGGACTGGCACAACCTTAACAAGCGCATCCGATACCTTTACAAACACTTCAACCGCCGCGGCAAGCACCGCTAGGGACGCGCTGGGGACGCCGGGGTGGCCGGGGCCGAGGGGAGGGTGGCAGCACACTGTCCGTAATAAAGAAGGGCTGCCTCGGAACCCGACGTGGGCATGCTTCCTCTCAGTACCGTAGCAGACTCCTGCGGCTCCGGAGTTCATTTCTCTTTGGGCTTTTGAGCTCAAGGCTGGCACTCTACTACCTGAGCCACAGCTCCACTTGTGGCTTTTTTGGGGGGTGATTCATTGGAGATAAAGCCTTGTGGCTTTTCTGCCCACACTGGCTTCAAACCACCCCCCTCCCTTCTCAGCCCCTGAGTAGCTGGGATTACAGGACACTGGCGCCCGGCTCTTTTTAGATTATTAATCAGACAATGGAGCATTTGGCTTGATTTTTTTTTTAACTTCCCTTCTTTGTATCCTCTGTCTCTCTCGATTCTTATTCTTGGCACTTTCTTGGTTTGCAGTCTGGGACTTCAATTTATTTCTCTTGCCACAGTTTCTGTGGAAAATTCCCAAGGCCTGGATGGAAGGTGTGCTCGTCCAAGGTTGGTCTCGTTTCTCCTGGGGAGTGTGGCCACACCACCAGGCCTGGGAACCTCTTCATGTTCTTGCCATTTTGTTTATAGGAAGTAAGGATATCTCACGCGCTTTCACAGAGCATGAAACAAAGAATTCCGGTGGGAGAAAACTCAACAAAACAGGGCTATGTGTTGTATGTTCTCTGCAAATATTTTATTTCCTTTGTCACCAGTACTGGAGTTTAAAGTTAGTCTGAGCACTGTCCCTTACCTTTTTTCTGCTCAAGGATGGTGCTCTACCACTTGAGCCACACCTCTACTGCTGGCTTTTTGGAGGTTAATTGGGAGATAATTTTCACAGACTTTCCTGCCTGAGGTGACTTGAACTGTGATTCTCAAATTTCAGCCTCCTGAGTAGCTGGGATTACAGGCAGGAGCCACCAGCGTGCAGCACTGCAAATAAAGGATTGAAAAGAAAAGCTCTGGTAGTCCTCTATGATCAGGGTGGGTGCCACAAAAGGGTTTAGTCCTTTGGGCTTTGAGGTTCATGTAGAAGTTTTTGTTTTTGTTTTTTGCATTTCCCACATTCAGTCATGCCCTGTTATTGCACTGAGGGGCCACCAGGTTCAAATTCAACCTTTGCAGCTACCTTGTTTAGTACCCAACTTTGGGCTAGAGCTCAGGGCCTTGTACCTTCACGTGACTCTTGCTGATGCCTGGTGCTCTCCTACTTCAGCCATACCTCCAGTCTTTCATTTTGCTGGTGAATTTGAGATCAGAGTCTCAGCCTTTTCCGGCTTCAAATCTCAATCCTCTAGACCTCAGCCTCCTGAGTAGCTCTGATGATAGGTCTAACCCGGTGATTTAATCTCTTTTTTTAAAATTTAATCTCTTATTATGGGATGGCTGGTGGGGTAACTTAGACATTCATACTACCAGAAATACTTCATCCCTGTCTTTGTCTGTGAGAGCTTGTCAGTTTCCAAATTTTTACAGATGGTCATTTTGGTGTGATTTCAGAAAGATGGGATGAACACTTTGTGAGCACACCCATTGTGCCAGGGTTGGGGCTTGAACTCAGGGCCTGGGCACGGTCCCTGAGCTCTTTTGTTGAAAGCTAGTGTTCTGCCACTTTAAGCCACAGCTCCACTTCCTGAGACCCGGGCCGTGGTGTACACCTGTAATCCCAGCACTGCGGAGGCCAGGCTGGGACACACAGTGAGATCAAGTCTTAGAAAGCCAAAAGGCCAGCCAGGCTCTGGGGCTCACACCTGTCACCCCAGCTACTCCGGAGGCTGAGATCTGAGGATCTGTGATTCCAACCCCGGGCAGGAAACTGAGGTTCTGATCTCCAATTCACCACCCCGAAAAAGCCCTGAGCACAGAAGCTCAGGGACAGCGCCCGGGCCCTGAGTTCAAGGCCCATGACCTCCCCCACTCCCCCCAAAACAACAACAAACAGTGGGGTGCCGGTGGCTCCCGCCTGTCATCCCGGCCAGGAGCTGAGATCTGAGGATCGCAGTTCAAAGCCGGCCTAGGCAGGAAGGCCCGGAGACTCTGATCGCCAATGAACCACCCGAAAGCCGGGAGTGGCGCCGCGGCTGAGGCGGCAAAGCGCCAGCCTTGAGCACAGAGGGCCGCGGACGGCGCCCAGGCCCCGAGTTCAAACCCCAGGCCCTGCAGAGATCCACAAGCAAAAGCAGACTGGACCTGGACCATTGGGCAGGGCTGCGGGCCTCGGACGGCGTCCAGGCTTCGGGGAAGCTTCGGTCACGCGAGATCCGAACCCCGCACCCGGCCCCATCCCGCACCTCCGCTCCGCGGGCTCCGCAGCGCCGGCGGTGAGACCCGGGCCAGGGCTGCGCGCCCCGCGCGTGCGCCGCTGCTGAGCCACGCCCCCTCGCCGAAGGACTCCCAGGTCCGGGGTGTTATTGGTCCAGTCAGCCGGAGCGGAGATGATTGACAGGAGCGGCCAGCTCAGCGATTGGCTGAGAGCCGGTATTCCCACAGGTAACGTAAACTGCATTTGTATTGGCCAGGAAAGGATTCCCCGCAGAATGTGCGCGGTCGAATAAAACGAGGGCTGTGATTGGTTCACCTTCAGAACAGAGGCGGGCACCTTGGGAGGCCATCCCGGTTTCCGATTGGACGACGAGGTTGTCACTCTCCGCCAGGAGGCGTGGCCAGCGCTAATAAAGCCCGGGTCCCGCCGCGCGGCAACTGCAGCAAGTTGCAGCGCGGTTCGCCGTCCGGGCGGTCAGCGGGAGGCGGAGCTTGGCGCTTCCGTCCACGGTCCGCCGCAGCGCCGTCCCGCCGCCGCCGCCGTCCCGCCCGCCCGCCGCGGCCTCCGCAGAGCGCCCGAGCCCCCGCTCCCTGGCAGGAACATGTGAGTGGACTCTGAGGTCGGGGTGCTGGACACCCCCCCCCCCCGCCACCCCGGGCGCCGGACTCTGCGGGACGGAAAATGGCGCATTGCAGCAACTGCGGCGTCGCGGGGGGAACCCGGCTGGGCCGGGACGGGGGGTGGGGGCTGCACCCCGGGGGCCGGGCAGGGGTGCCCCCCTCCCCCGTCCCGGCAAAGCAGCCCCGAGGCGGGACAGACAGACAGACAGCTGGAGCTAGGGGTGCTCGTGCCCGTCCTGGGGCTCGAACTCAGGGCCTGGGCGCTGCTGCCCCTGAGCTTTTTCAGCTCTCCTACTTGAGCCCAACAGCTCCCCCTCGACCTGGTGTTTCGGGGTTCAGTGGCAGATGTAAGAGGCTCACCCACTTTGCCTGGTCTTGAACCTCCATCCTCGGATCTCAGCCTCCCCCCCTCCACACACACACACCCCGGATTGTGAGCTTGGGACAATATGCTGCAGAGAGATGTGATGATTGATGTGCTCCTCTTCTCATTCGTGGGTGAAGCCCTGGGCTGGCTTGGGGCTGTGTTTCTATTGCTTCTGGGAGTGAACAAGAGCCAAGATTTATTTGCATTATATAAGGGGGATAAGCGGTCCTGGGCCTGGTACCGACTCTTTCTAACCCCCAGCCACCATCAGGAAGTGGAGTGAACCTCAGATCCTTCACCGGCTCTTGTGCTTTTTTTTTTTTCTCTGCAGAGATCTGCAGGAGTTTTTGTTTGTTTCTTTTGTGCCGGTCCTGGGGCTTGAACTCAGGGCCTGGGCATTGTCCCAATCGCTTTCCCACTCAAGGCTAAGTACTCTGACCGTTTGCATCACAGCTGCAGTTTTAGCTTTCTGGAGAGCAGAGTCTCACCGACTTGCCTGCCCGGGGCTGGCTTCAAACTGCGATCCTCAGATCTCAGCCTCCCTGAGTAGTTGGGATTATAGGTGTGAGCCACTGGCCGCCCACAGAATTCCGCAGTTATGACTAAAGATGACATTCTGGCCTGGCACTAGTAGCTCCCGCCTGTCATCCCAGCTACTCAGGAGGCTGAGATCTGAGGATCGAGGTTCAAAGCCAACCCTGGGCAAAAAAGTCTGAGACTCTGATCTCCAATGAGCCACCAGAAAACCATATACGTAGATCTGTAGCTCAAGTGGTGGAGCGCTGGCCTTGAGCAAAAAGAGCTCAGGGACAGCGCCCAGGCCCTGAGTTCAAGCTCCATGACTGACCAAAAAAGATGATGTTTGGGGCAAGCTCTGAGGTTGCATGCTGGAGAGAGGGCTCAGGCCCGTGGGCTCCCGGCCGAATTGGTGTAGGAGGCCGGCAGGGAGGTAAAGAAAGTGTGGCCACCAGGGAATCACAAGGGCTCTGACCTTAACCTTGACATTGGTCCCACTGTCTTGGATGGCTTCCAGCCTCCCCTCCCCTCCCCCTGCTTCTTTCTCAGTGAGAGCAGCAGGAGGTGCCTTAAGCTAGCTCAGCAGCAGCACCGGAGGGCTCATGGGTCCTCCGGCTTAACGTGTTTCTTTGTATGTTGGAGGAAAATGTGGCAGAGATTTCTTTTTAAAATGCGCATAATAAATAATAAATCAGCGTCATCTACTCATCCGGTAGAGTCTGTCCCAGGGATGTATGCTTGATTTTCACACACGAGGGAGAAAAACTACAACGGGGGAAGGGAGAGGAGATTCTAGGGGTTGGTGTTATTGTGATTAGTCAAGGGATTTCCTTTGAGGTGACTTGCTGACTAGTGTATTTTTTTCTAGGACTATTCTGGGGAGAGTTTTGGTGTTTGTGTCGATGCTGGGGCTTGAACTCACGGTCTGGGTGCTATCCCTGAGTTTTTGCGATCAAGGCTGAGCACTCTACCACTGGAGCCACAGCTCCACTTCCAGCTGTTTTCGTGGTTCATAGGTGATAAGAGTCTGGTGGACTTCCCTGCCCAGGCTGGCTTTGAACTGGGATCCTCAGATCGCAGCCTCCTGAGTAGCTGGGATTACAGGCGTGTGTCACCATACTTGGCTCACAGTCAGGACGTCTCAGTGGCCCCCTTGGGACTAATCCACACGTTGTGGCAGAACACTTCCGCTGCTTCCTCTGTGCCCCTCTCTCCCCCTCCCAGAATCCCCCGGGCTCTAGCGTCTATTTGCCTGTCACCTAACTGGAATAGCTTGGATTGTACGGGTGCGGCTGGATCCGACTCTGGTCTTGATTGCTGTGTGTCCGGCTCAACTCACTCACAGGTCCGCTCCAGCAGCTCAGCCGCCCGCGGAAGGGGCAGAAGGGGCCGCCCCCGGTGGGGGTCCCCCCGGCCCCCCTCCCAACTTGACCAGCAACAGACGGTTACAGCAAACGCAGGCGCAGGTGGAGGAGGTATGTGAATAGCTGTGTCTGGGAGAGTTTCCTAATCCAAGAGGATATCATGTCTGTCTGTCCGTCTGTGTGTCCGTCTGTCTGTCTGGGAGCAAAGCATCACTTTGAGTGACACACATGAGACTCGTGATCCGCCAGACATTGTTTTGCTCTGCCTCTCGGGAGAATCTCACCACCTGCTTGTTTGTATTTCTTCCTGGGACTTGAACTCAGGGCCTGGGCACCATTCCTGAGATTCCCCCCCCTGCCCCTCAAAGTTGGGGCTCCACTTCGGGTTTTCTGGTGGGTTCGTTTGGAAGAGATGAAGAGGCTCGTGGACTTTCCGACCCAGGCTGGCGCGTGGAACCACGATCCTCAGATCTCGGCCTCCTGAGAGGCCGGGATGCCAGGCGTGCGTGACAGCGCCCGGCCTGCAGCCGCTCCGTGTCTGCGTCCCCCTCAGGTGGTGGACATCATGCGCGTGAACGTGGACAAGGTCTTGGAGAGGGACCAGAAGCTTTCGGAGCTGGATGACCGAGCCGACGCCTTGCAGGCCGGAGCCTCCCAGTTTGAGAGCAGCGCCGCCAAGCTAAAACGGAAGTACTGGTGGAAAAACTGCAAGGTGAGTGAGTTCCCGGGCGCAGGACCCGCGTTGGCCACCAGGGTGCGCTAGAGCGTTAGAACCATTGACAAAGTGCTGCTCACCCTCCTGGGTTGTTCAGAGTGATTAGCTCCCCCAGCCCCGCCCCCCGCTGCTGGAGACCCCCCACAAATCCTCCTGACCCTCAGACACCCCACAGCCACACAGCAGCCCCGGTATTTATGTAAATGCCCGCCGTGTTTGGGGGTGTAGCCAAACCAATTGATCACAGATGCAAATTATGCGTTTTCCACTTTGGTTGTGTGTGTGTGTGTGTGTGTGTGTGTGTGTGTGTGTGTGTGTGTGTGTGTGTGTCTCCTAGGATTTGAACTCAGGGCCTAGGTGCTGTCCCTGAGCTCTTCAGCTCAAGGCTGGTGCTCTACCCCTTGAGCCACAGTGCCACTTCCAGCTCTGTGGTAGTTACTTAGAGCTAAGAGTCGCAGGGATCTTCCTGCCCAGGCTGGCTTTGAACATCCGTCCTCAGATCTCAGCCTCCTGAGTGGCTGGGATGGCAGGCGGGAGCCATGCGCTAGGCACAGACGAAGCCAGCTGGGGGTGTGGGGCTGGAATTAGGGCCTTTGGGGAACAGAGGCTGCAGGTGTCCGGGGTCCCGGGCGGAGGGTGGAGGGAAGATGGCCGATGGGGCGTCCCCAGCCCGAGGCCCCACGCTTTGTGTCCGCAGATGATGATCATGTTGGGGGCCATCTGCGCCATCATCGTGGTAGTTATAGTAAGTAAGTATCGCTGCGGCGGCTGCGGGGGGCACAGGGGAGACGCCCAGCCCTGCCTGCTGCTTGCCCCCCACCTGCTGTCTGGGGAGTGGGGGTGCTGTCACCCAGGTATGGACACCCCTGGCTGGGGGGGAGGAACCGGGGGAGCCCAGGAACCCCGCTGATGGCTGTTGGGTAAGTGGTCTCCCCGCAAGGCATTGTGGGTAGGGGCTGGCACCTGCTGATGTATGGAAGTGGAGATGGGGGGGGGAGGGGAGGGCAAGGGGGGGGTCTGCTGTTTGTCCCTGGCTGAGGTCATGGGGTCAGAGGGAGATCTGGGGGTTCCTCTCACCGAGGCCTGGGAGCCTGACAACTTGATGTAATTCACCCTCTTGTTTTCTTCTGTCTGTCTCTGTCTGTCTCTCTGTCTCTCCTCCATCCGGGACTTCCTGATTCCTGTGTCCAGTCTACTTTTTTACTTGAGAATGTGCCCCGCCCCCTCCCCTCTTCACGGCCGTGCGAAGTTCAAATCCTGCCCGCACCCCTGCGTCCCCCCCCCGCTTCTCCAGCCTCCCCCCCCCCTCCTCTTTGGTTGCTTTCATCGACTCTTCCCCCCCACACTAGAAATGGGGCTCCAGGACAGGCGTGGGGTCCCCAGCCAGCCTCTGCTGGGCGCTCACCCGGGCTCCCCCCAAAACTGAAAAGAGGGCAGGGGACGGGGGTACCCCCAAAAGTTCTCCACAGCCGGTGGGAGACAGCACACGGTGGTCATGTTCCTCTTCCGTAGGTGAGCGTGGGCCGCCGGGCACCCCTGTCTTTTCTGAAACTCAAGTTGCTTCTCCTAACCGGTCACCCCACAGTTTTCCCTCTTTGGGGGAGCGGGGCTCTCACAGTTTTTAATTTGTTCCCCGTAGGCCTGAGAATAAGCACCTAGTGATTGCAGCCGAGTAAGAACCCCCCCCCCGTTCCTTCTCCCAGAAGGAACTGTCTGTCTCTCCCTCTTTCCTCCTCCCCTCTGTGTTTTCTGGAACATTCTATGTCATGTGCATGGGCACCCCATAATTGCATCCCGCCGAGGTCTGCAAGTCTGTGGATTTTGCCGTTGGGGGCGTCAGAAGGAAATCCCCCTTGTTGTACATTTTTATCTTCATTTTTGTCTGATCGCTGAGGATTTTTTCAAGTGGGGCTCAGAGTCAGCCTGGGGGGGGTGCAATGGTGCCCTGTGTCACGGGGGGGGCTCAGGCCTGCGCCCCAGCCTCTGGGACCCCTCAGCCCCGATGAGAACTCTCCTGGCCTCCTTCTCTTCCTTCATTCCTGGATGCTTCATGCACACACCGTGGCCCCGAGGACGGCAGGCTGTGTGGGGTAAACTGGGGGGCTGGAGCGGGGAGGGGGGCCTCGGTCCTTCCTCTTCTGGTGGACGCCCAGCCAGGTTGAAGCCCATTTCTCACATGGCAGCATTTCACCCCCAAAACCATCCTTCTTTCCCCTTTTCTTCCCTGCTGCCTGCACCCCACATTCCCTCCTCCCTCTGCCCCCCCCGCCCGCCCCTCCAGGCAGGCCTGAAGAGCTGGGAGGAAGGATGGAGGCCGCCCTCCCTCTCCTGGGGTCCCCCCAGAAATCTACCCACTAGCCTCTGATGCTTCCTTCAGGGAGACACCCCAGAAGCACCCCTGGGCCCAGCCCTAGCTTGGAGGCCTCATTTCCTGGGGTCCTGGGCCCTGTGTTTTGGGGGGGTGAGGCCATCTTTTCTTTCCTCCCGCCTGGAACCCTCCTCTCCGTCTCTGCGGCGGCCCCTCCCGCCCACCACTCGCACATGCGCAGAAGGGCAAGCACATCCCGCGCGGGCCCCCAAACTCTCCACCCCTTCTTCCGTTGGCCACGAGCGGGCTGTGGGCTCTCCTCTGCGTGTCTGTCACCCGACCCTCGTGTCACACTGAGACAATGGCAGCATCTCTCTCTCCACCAAAGCATGTGGCTTCCTTACCAATCCATGTATTCTGCACAAAGGCAAAAAACAAACAAAAATACAAACTCCTCCCACCCATCCGGCTGGCTTCTTGTTTGAGGAGGGAAGGGGGGACGTCATCAATGCCAGGGGTAGGAGGGGTTGAGGGATGGCAGCCGCCCCCCCAGATCAGGGCTTTGTGGGAGGAAGCAACGGGTGCTGTGGGTGTTCCAGGCTGAGTCTCCAACTGGTGTTGGAACCTCATACCACAAGCATCGGCCCCACCTGCTGCCTCCTCTAGTCCCAGCCTGCCCACCCGGGCCTCCAGCACACCCACATCTTCCCCCCCATCTGAATACACTGTGTTTATTTTTATTCATTTATTTTAGCGCCAGTCCTGGGGCTTGAACTCAGGGCCTGGGCGCTGTCCCTGAGCTCTTCGGCTCAAGGCTGGCGCTCTACCACTTGAGCCACAACACCACGTCTGGTTTTCTTCTGGTGGTTCACTGGAGATCAGAGTCGCATAGACTTTCCTGTCCAGGCTGGCTTTGAACCACGATCCTCAGATCTCAGCCTCCTGAGCGGCTGGGATGACAGGCGGGAGCCACGGGTGCCGTTCCCGGTGGTGTCAGGTCTTGTAGAAGAACGGGTCTGCTCTTCGTTGCCAGAAGTGAGGAGGAGGAAGGTGGCTACGCCGTGTACCTCAGGGGCTTGGCCGACCTCGGGAAGAAAACTAGGGAGAAAAAAATGAAAAGGCAAAATTGGTCTCTTCCCGGTGCCACAGGAGGCTGGAACTCTGGAAGTCGGGCCTGAGCCCTGGAGGGAGGTTGAGGGGCGGGTCCTGCGGGGGGGGGGCTGAGCAGGTGGAGGGAGCACTCATGGGAACACTCACCTTGCTGCCTCTGGAGCACCCAGCACGACAGAACAAGAAGGAAGAAGATGGCGCTCAAGATGGTGCCCGTCCCTGTCCTGCTCTCTACGGGTGAGAAGTGTGGACACGTGGCATTCACGTGCGTGTGTGTTGACGTGTCCCCACCCTACCCCGCTCTCCACCCGCTCTGCCTCCTTCCTCCCCCCAACTTATTTATTTTGGGCCCTGGGATTTGAACTCAGGGCCTGGGCGCTGTCCCTGAGCTTTGCAGCTCAAGGCTGGCGCTCTGCTACTTGAACCACAGCGCCACGTCTGGCTTTTTGGTGATCCCCTGGCCATAAGAGTCTCCAGGACTTTCCTGCCCCGGGGGCTGGCCTCCAACCACGATCCTCAGATCTCAGCCTCCTGAGCAGCTGGGATGACCGGCGGGAGCCACCGCCGCCCGGGGAGATCGTTTAAGGCCTGAAGGGTCGACTGGTTATTTCCTCACATTTTTCTCTTTGTCCATTTACCGGTCAAATAACCTCGGCTCCCTTAACCCTTGCAAGCCAAATGCATCTATAATACCGGGGTTGTGCCGGGCATGGTAGTGTACGCCTGTAGTCCCAGCTGTAATATATGGCAAAGCCATGGCGGCGTGGCGGGGGGAGGGGGTCACTCGGGGTACCTGGGCGTGGGTCCAGCCTCGTGCTGGCCCGCAGGGGCTCTTCCAGGGAGCTGTGGGTGACCTCGCAAGTGTAGATGGCGCCCGCGGGGCCGACGTCCACCCGCAGGGAGGAGGAGATGCTGTAGGTGCCCGCCATGCTCTGCCGGAGGCTGGAGAAGGAGGCGTCCGCCACCGGGGCTGGGGCCCCCCCCACGTCCTCCCGCGTCCACGCCACCCCCACGTGCAGGGGGTAGTAGCCGCTCACGGTGCACACCACGGTGGGCGGGGCCGCTGTCTCTGCCACGCTCACCCGGACTTTGGGGGGAGCTGCGGAAAGAATGGGGGCATCAGACCCAGCACCGTAGCGCACGCCTGTCATCCCAGCTCCTCAGGAGGCTGAGATCTGAGGTCACGGTTCAAGGCCCGCTCCCAGCAGGAGCTGGGACACTCTGATCTCTGATTAGCCAGCAAAAAAACGGGAAGCGGGGCTGTGGCTCAAGTGGTAGAGCGCCAGCCTTAAACAATAGAGCTCAAAGACAGTGCCCTGGCCCTGAGTTCGAGCCCCAGGACTGGCCAAAAAAAAAAAAGAAGAAGGGAAGAGGAGGAGGAGGAAGAAAAAGGAGGTGGAGGAAGAAGAGTAAAAGACTGGGCTTGCCTTCTCTTCTTTTTGATGCTGGCCCTGGGACTTGAACTCATAGCCCAGATACTGTCCCTCAGTTTTTTAGTTCAAGGCAGGCGCGCTACCCCTTGAGCCACAGCACCACTTCCAGTTTTCTGGTGGTTCATTGGAGATCAGAGTCTCACGGGACTTTCCAGCCCAGGCTGGCCTCGAACCTCGATCCTCAAAGCTCAGCCTCCTGAGTAGCCGGGATGACAGGCGTGAGCACCGGCGCCCAGCTGCTCACCGTGGATGCTGAGCTGGATGACTTGCTGGGCTTGGTACGCCGTGGTGGTCACCTGGCACACGTAGGTCCCCTCGTCCTTCAGCGTGAGGCCGGCCAGGGTGAGGGTGGCGTCCCCGGCCGTGAGGAGCCGGGTGGGGTCCAGTGCTGCGCCCTCCCGCGCCGCCAGCCCCTGCCCCGCCGCCCAGCTGTACACCAGCTGCCCCTGGCCCCTGTGCTGTCGCCGCCAGTGAACGCTGAGCAGCTGCAGGCCGGGCGCCATGGAGAAGCCGCAGTGCAGAGCCCCAGAGGAGCCCAGCGGCAAAGTCAGAGATGGGGTCTCTGTGGCCACCAGGAATTCCACTGCGGGGAGAGAAAGAGCCACTTAATACCACATCCTCAGGCCGGGCACTGTGGCTCCCGCCTGTCATCCCAGCTACTCAGGAGGCTGAGAGCTGAGGATCACGGTTCAAAGCCAGCCCAGGCAAGAAAGTCTGTGAGAGACTGATCTCCCATGAACCACCAGAAAACCGGAAGTGGTGCTGTGGCTCAAGTGGCAGAGCGCCAGCCTTGAGTTCTAGCCTCAGGCCGGACTCACACACACACACACACACACACAGCACCCACCTGCCGTCTTCACCTTCTGTGGGGGGCCGGGGCCTGGGCTCAGCACGGCGTTCTCAGCACCCCCAAGACCCTTCATGAGGAGGGAGAGGCTGGGCCCTGTTCCGGGCAGCCGCACCTGGGCGATGAAGCAGGGGGCCCCCGGGCTGCTCCCCAGGACGTAGGGGGCGATCTCGCAGGCCACCGGCTGCCCCTGACACTCGGCGTGGACGAAGGCCGCGGCCCCGGGCACCCGGACCTGCTCCACTGCCGAGAAGCGCACAGGTGGCAGAGCCGCTGCGGGTTTGGGGGGGCAGGGGGGAGATCTGGGGTATCTCAGGGTAAGGCTTTAGTTACCTGAGGCTTGGAAGCTGGCCGAGGGGTCCCCCGGGGTCACTGGGTCCCCCTGGAAATCTGTGAGGCCGTCCAGGGAGCCGTCATCGGGCGCTGACACGCCTTTCAGCACCAGCCAGGCCTTCTCCCGGGGGCCCCTCGCTGCCCAAGCCCCCAGGGAGCCGCCCTCCGTCACCAAGAAGCAATCGAACACCACGTCCACCCGCCGCCATGGCGGCTCTGCCGCTGGGTCCCCTGAAGGGAAAAGCTGGGGTGAGTCTCCTCCCTTTTTGTAAGTGTGCCGGTCCTGGGGCCTGAACTCAGGGCTGGGCGCTGTCCCTCAGCTCTTCAGCTCAAGGCTAGTGCTCTACCACTTGAGCCACAGCGCCACTTCCAGCTTTTTTTCTTTTTGCTTCTGTGGTGCTGAGGAATCGAACCCAGGGCCTCAGGCATGCAAGGCAAGTGCTCTACCACTGAGCCACCTTCCCAGCCCCTCTGATCTCTTGATTAGCCAGCAATGAGCTGGACGTGGCGCTGTGGCTCATTGGTAGAGCGCCAGCCTTCAGTGAAGAGGCCGGGACGGTGCCCAGGCCCTGAGTTCAAGCCCCACGATCCTGACAAAAACCAAAACCAACAAGGGGGAACCACCTGCTACCCACCCCCACCCCCAAGGCTGCGGGGCGCGGTTTGTCTCTCCCGAGAAAGAAACTCCCTGCCAAAATGACGCCTGGCAGGAGGCTGAGGTCTGAGGATCAGGGTTCAAAGCCAGCCCGGGCAGGAAAGTCCCTGAGGCTCTGACCTCCAATAGACCACCAGAA